GTGGCCGCCGCTCCCTGCCTTGTCTCAAGGCTCGCCTCATTAAGGAAGCCCAGTTAATTTGGTGTAATTGGCGCTGCGGCATCATGCATGTTTCCTCGGCTCCGGCAATTGCAGCGGCGCATCTGTCTTTGAAAAAGCTGGGTTTTAGGCAAATGCGGTTCCATGAATCCTAGAGTGAGCGGGCCCGCGGTGCTTTGAGCGCGGATGTTTCCCCTGATGACTATTCATGAGTTCTGGTCGGCGGGGCCGGGGGCGGGGGGCCTCTGATGCGGTCTGTGCAGTCACACGAGTACTGAATCATATCGTCCAAGGCCTACTGATGTCGAAGCTCCCGCTCACCTGCTCACCCACGTCGTCCGGGGTCTTCTGATGTCACCGCTCCTGCTCACCTGCACACCCACGTCGTCCGGGGTCTTCTGATGTCACCGCTCCTGCTCACCTGCACACCCACGTCGTCCGGGGTCTTCTGATGTCACCGCTCCCGCTCACCTGCACACCCACATCGTCCGGGGTCTTCTGATGTTACCGCTCCCGCTCACCTGCACACCCACATCGTGCGGGTTCTACTGATGTCATCGCTCCCGCTCACCTGCACACCCACATCGTCCGGGGTCTACTGATGTCGCCGCTGCTGTTCGCCTGTCTCGGTAACGGTGCCGGTCTGCGGCTGTGGGCGATCCCGTCCCGGCACCCCTCAGACAGGATCGGAGTGTGGACACGTGCTCCCCGCCGATGTGACGGCGGCCGCCTCGCGCCTTGTCTCGGTCGTCGACTGGCCTCTGTGCGTCGCTGTGTCGAGTGCGTCCGCGATTCCTCGTCCCAGGGGCGAGGCCGGCTTAACAATTACGGTACGCGCATCGTAACCAGTAGGAAACGTCACGGAGTTACGACCCGTCTGCCACGAATGAAGAGTTGATACTGTCGTGCAGCGGCTTGGGATAATGCCTTGCGTGTGGTGAGCGGGTCATTCTTGGCTGCCTTTGGTTCCTGGTTTTATGGCTTTATGGGTGGCTTGCTTTCACTTCATCCTGCTCTGTTATGCAGCATAATTTGTCTACGTATGGGGAAGACGTACTGCGCGTGATGGTCGAGGCGTTGCAATGAAGAGAAATATTGATGGCACCCGCGTTGACGTAAATCATGCACGATAGTGACGCGGGCGCCCGAGTATCCGCCTGTCGGCTGCGGTGCATGATCGTGTTATCGACCCCATGTCTGTCTCGCAGCTCGCGCAGGAAATGTGTATCTCCGGGACGGCGGGGGACACGGACGTGCACCCTCGTGTCAGCCCACATGCTATCAGGTTTGGCTGTGGTGTCGTGTCGCAGGCAAGCTTCCACGTAGGCATGTATGATGTGTGAGCGGCCATACCTTTCGTTCGTTCGCTCGTGCACCTGCAGGTGCCGTTCCGGCCACGCGTGCAGCGGGTGCCGTATGGACGGTCTGTGTGTGCACTCGTCCCGGGGACGCTCAGGCGGCTGAAACTGTACATGCGCTGGGTCGGTCCGTAGATGACCGCGCGCGAGCCGCTGGCGCCGGCCTGAAAGTGTCCGCGTCCTGCTTACTCAGGCCCTGCTCACTCCGGAACTGCGCTAACTGCTCGGAGCTGTGAGTGTGGTTAAGACCATTCGCGTCCCGGCCGGCGATCGAGAGGCGTACAGCTCCTAGCGGGATGCGCCGAAGTCCGCTCAAGCTCGTTCTCCTCGTCATTCCGTCCGACTGCGCTGTTTTGTTTTGTTCGCTCCGCCCGGCTCAGCTGTTCGCTGCGGGCCGGCTGACGCGGCGCTGGCGCCTGGATGCGTGAGGACAGCTACCGGCCGCTGGCGTGCTCGCTTTTAGCGAACTGGGGGAATCGGGTTGAGAGAACTGTCCGACGCTGTTGAGTCAGTTATCGTCCTAAGATCATTCGACGACTGGTCATCTTCAGTATGACTATTTTGCAGTGCGAGTGTGGTAATCTGACCTTATTGACGCACTGATTGATTGGCCCGTCGCGTGGCAGCATGCCGCCGGCGCGACGCTCCGCTTCTCGCGCGGCCGTGAATGCACGTAGTGAAACCGTTGGAAAGCTAGCAATCTGGCGACGATAATGTTGTCAATGACTGGCGCTAGCCCAGCTCTCTCCTTTGAATTCGTCTCGTCCCGTCGGCAGCTTTCATGCACGCCCGTCAGTGCGCGCTGGTGGCGGTTTGGCCGCCTGCCAGACACGTCCCTGGGACTGGGCGCGGACGGGTGGTGGTGTGCCACAAGCTGTCTCGTTAGTGGTAAGTATCAATCCCGGACCCGATTGCTATGCGTTATATCCGGCAAGAATTCGTCTTCGAACGGGACTCTGAAAGTCTCGGCTGTGCCGCACTGTCCGTAACGCCTTGATAGTGCTTCTCTCCCCTTGCCCATCACGCAGCTTACGGATTGCCACACTTGCATAGGTGTTTATTGCCATAAAACACGAGGACTGAATGCAGAAGTTGGTCTTGCTATCTGAAGAGTACCAGGTTTGTAGGCTCTAATTCGTTTCATGCAACAACAAATATTATATAATCCGTTCTATGCGACGACGAATGTGTAACACCGTTATCGTGCAAGAATGTTCTGTAGATGCGGCAAAAAGCGAGGTGTCGTTGAGGATTACTAAAGAATTCCGGAGGTAGCGCTGCAATTACATTGTCACCCTCCCGAAGTGTCGTGCGCGCTCGCCGTCTGGTCTCGTGACGCGCTGACCCTTTCCCCATCGACTTGTGACCTTCGAGGACAATTTTGTTGGAATGCGTGTCAAGCAGAACGGGGGAGTCTGAACAAAAAAGATGAAGGGGGTATGGAGATGTGGGAATGGAAAGCTTAGGACCTACTGCTATCGCGTCTTGGGAGCAATGAAAATTGTGCCGTACGGAGGACTTTTGAATCTGTATTTTTAGACTAAACTTCGTTTCTGATTTCGATGTTTCTGGACTTGGGACCGGGGCACGGGGGGGGGGGGGGGCAGGCGGAGGGTTGCGGTCGACGGTTGCGGTCCGACCACGACGGTTGTGGTTAGGTACGGTTACGATAACGGTACTGTCGGCGTGCTAGACTAAAAGAGAACAAAATATGACGGCAGACCCGTTTGCGATACATGACAACTTGTATGTGATGTACGGCAATTTTTGGTGATTTTGCGGCATCGCTCATGATCGACCGGTCAGACAGGGCCAAACGAGACCATGCCACGTCTTTTACCGTCCGTTAGTCTTACGGCGTCGGCAGAAAACCTGATGCAGATTGAACAAGTCTGCGTGTTTTCATTGTGTGACCGGACCCTGGTCCCGGCCGGAGCCAGTGGCTGCAGCCGCCGGCCGGGCGCGCTCGCGCGCTGCCGAACAGCGCCGGGAGCCGACAGACCGACCCGGCGGCCGGCGGCGCGGGTCATCAGCCGGCTCCGGCGCGGCGGCGGCGGCGGCGCGGCGGCGCGCCCGCCCCGGCCGGCGCCGATCTCGGCCGGCCGCGGCCTAATCAAATCCGAGCGCCGCACCAGCGCCGGGACCGCCGGTACCGTTCGTCCGGCCGATGTGGCGGCTAGCGGGACCGGGGTCACGGGATGCTGCGCGCCCCGACTCGGCCGGCGCGGCTGCGTCAGAACCGACGCTGCGATTTGACCCCGGCGGCTCTGAGGGGGCGGGGAGGGTGAAGGCAGCCACGACGGCAGAGACTCGAACAGCAGACCGACCTCGTACCGCAGTGGTGTCTGACTTCCGGCGGGGAGGAGGGAGTTTTTGCGACGCCCCGCCAAGTGCCGGGCGCGCGTCGGTTTTCCTCGCCGTGGTCGTCGCTCAAACTGTAACGCTTATGCACGTGACCGGATGAGCCGAGTCGCGAAACAGACAAAAGCCGCGGCTGTTGGCCGACAGTTAGGCAACAGCGCCACGTGAATTGGCCCATGGTTACGGTTGGCCAGCCCTGCCCACCCGCACCTGCCGGCGCTCTTTGGCAGGAGTGGCACTCGTCGCCAATGGGCTAGGCTAGGAACTCTCTGTGCAGCAGTGCACACACACTCGGCGAGTGTGTGTGTACTCGGTCCGTGTCTCGGCCCGCTGGGCGGTCGGGTCGGCAGCCCCAGCGGCCGGCGCTCCTCACTCTTCGTCGCTGCTGGTCGCCGTCGTCCGGCTCGTTGTCGTCAGCGCTCGTTAGTGCGGCGTGCATGGGGGTCATGACCCGGCCTGGCTGGGCGTGTCACCCCGTCGCCGCGCCCCTGCGCCTGCTGACCCGCTGACCCGCAGGTCACGGCAGCCTGACCCGAATGTGGTGGGGAGAGACCGGCGGGGCGCACCCACAGCGGGGACGCCCCGTTGGGGGATACGCCAGCAAAGCTGGCTTCCGGCGATGCTGAGATGTTCGATGTTCCACCCGCAGTTTTGGTCGCGAGGTCTGTGGTTGCGGTGGCGTTAGAGAAGTGTCTGGGAGTGGTTTTTGGCGGAGTGCTGGGTAATCATAAGGCGTCCGGGCTTTTCAATGACCAGCAACATTTGAATCAGACTCTGTTTTGGCTGAACAATCTCCTTGTTGACTGAAGCCTTGTCGTAACCCAGATCTGGTCACTTATTTCTCGCACTAGCTATATTTTGTAAATTAGGCATTTAAATGTGTTATGCCGGTGCATTGCAAACCGCGACCTGATTTGGTCACGTCTGGTTTGTACATTAAATGGAATGGGATGCGGCGCTTAGCGTGCCGTGATTAAGTTAATTAAACTTGACTGAAAATTAAATTAAATCGTCCTGCCTGCTGACGCCTCCTGCTTACCTTCCACTTCATCTTTCTTGGGGCGAGGGGTTCAGCATAGTGGTAACACTGATGTACCAGTAACATCTCTGCCAGTGGCATGCTGCAGAGTCCAGCGAAGCTCGCGCCTCTGGTGCTGACCAGCTCTTTCTTTCGTTGACACGTCATGGAGCCGTTCCCCATCCGCGTTCCCTGAGCCCACCGCCACTGGACGTCTTCTTACGCCCCGCCTCCCCTGCTGGCAGTGGGTGGAGGAGAGCTACACCAATTTCGAGAAGGGCATCAACTGGCGCTCGCACGTGGTGTGCGACGTGGCCAAGCAGGACGTCAACAACTGGCTGTGGACGCCGTTCATCGAGCGCGGCGAGGCCGAGCGCATCTACATCGAGCTCAAGTTCTCGATGCGCGACTGCTCGCTGTTCCCGGGCACGGCGCTCAGCTGCAAGGAGACGTTCAGTCTGCTCTACTACGAGTTCGACGCGGCGACGCGCGAGCCGCCGCCCTGGGAGCCGGAGAGCTACCGGCTCATCGACCGCATCGCCGCCGACCAGGGCCGCTCCAGCTCCAGCCAGGAGCGCGTCATCAACGTCGAGACGCGCTCCATCCCCGTCACCAAGAAGGGCGTCTACTTCGCTGTGCGCGACCAGGGCGCGTGCATCGCGCTGCTGGCCGTGCGCGTCTACTACCAGACGTGCGCGCAGGTGACGGCCGGCCTCGCGCAGTTCCCCGCCACCCCCACGGGCCGCGAGGAGACGACCATCAAGACGGCGCGCGGCACGTGCGTGGCGAACGCGGCGCCCGGCGGCCACGACGGCCGCCCGCCCCAGTACATCTGCAAGGGCAACGGCGAGTGGGAGCTGCTGGACGGACACTGCAGCTGCCGCGCCGGCTACGAGCCGCGGCCCGCCAACCAGTCCTGCCAAGGTAGGCGTCGGCGGCAGCGCCGTGCTGCAGCTGTCTTTGTGCTTGTCGGCCGGCCAGGCTGGGGTTGTTAGCCTGGCAGCGGTTTTGTGGCACTGTCGTGGTGCTCAGTGGGAGGCGTAATGATTTATGAGCTCGTGTGAAGAGCCTATGCTCCTTATGTGTTATGGAATGCTTCCGGTTACACTGAGTGCATTTGGACCGAACGTGAAAGTCAAACTCGACACTCATTACTCGTGAAAGTCAAATTCCTTGCCGCCTCCGCGCTCTGGGCGTTGACTGACACGAAAGGCGGGCGCATCGTTTCGTTCAAATGGCACAGAAAGCTCGGATGACAGCTGGCCAACTAGTGTCAATGGAGGTTTGGGGCGGCCGCGCCGTGCGCCACGTTAAACCCTCCGCTGTCGTGTCAGGCGAAGAAGCGAAGGCAAAACTGTCCGTTAAACCGGACCGTTATCCGTTAAACCGGGCAGCACAACTTGGTGGTGAATTCAGGCCGGATGCGAAAAATTCTGCTCAAGGAATGCCCGGAACTTAAAGCCACCCATGGCGGGTGTTCCGAATGAATTTGTTTTTGTTTTTTGCTTTTGTTTTTGTTGTTTCTTGGCGGTCTGTTTGACGACTTTTATGATTGGTTGGAATCACTCGGCCCCACTGCAAACATGTTGAATGGAATCCGCCCGGGGCTGCTTGTAGGTCATGGGTTGTGGCGCGATCATGCGATCATGCACCAAGGGCGAACGCCAATCGAACTGGTGTGGTGCCAGCGGCAATGCCATCTGAACCCATGTTATATGCCTGTCGACCTGTGCGATCGCGCAGGGAATGAGAAGAGAGACTGGTTGCCCCGTCCACCGCTGCGAAATTCTGAAAAAAGGTTCCAATAGCTTTCCAGGCACCAACGGCGTGATCGCGGCATGGAGCATGCGAGGGACGAATATCCAAGGCCGCCTAGTGGCGTGTGGTGAGCCACTGATGCCCGTGGGATGTATGCACCTTGACACTACCAGTGCCGATCCGTTAGAAGATACCGTATCGTGAGCTCTTACTGTGACAGCTTTGTCACGCGGGGATGAGCGACTTAGCCCGGCCAATCTCCGCATCATCACGCTCCGGTCCTATGTGACAGACAAGCCGCAGAGCAAGCCAACAAATCTCTCTGGAGGCTCTAAATCCCGTTGCAGGCGCCGTCTGCTGATTGCAGCTAATTGCGGTTCGGGCGCTGATTACAAGCCGACTGATTAATGGCTTCTGTGGCCCGGAGACCCCAGCGCCTGTCAGCCTGTCAGCCCCTGTCTGCCGCCTCCCAGCTGCCCTGAGCCCGGTCTCCGCGGGTCATCTCAGCTGCGAGCCGCCCCGGGCCGTACCCAGAGCTGCCAGCCGCGCCTGCCCCCGTCGGGCAGCGTCGCCTCGGCTGCCCCGAGGGTGTTGTCGGATCACACGGCTGGCGGCGTGACCGGTCTGCTAGGTCGCCATATACGGGCCGGAAGTCCCGGGACACGGACGCGGCGGGTCACACGCCCGCCCCCCCCCCCCCCTCCCCATTCGTCCGTCACGCGGTGGCAGGCGAGCCGAGCCCCTATTCAGTCGCTGCACGGCCGGTGGTCGTGATAGCGCCGGCCCTGAGTCGCTGCTCCTGACCAGACGCGGCGGTCAGCGGGTGTTTCCGCCGATTTGGCGCTGCCGGAGCTGACCGTGCCGTATTCGGAGGTGCTGACGTCGCCGGGGCCGCGCGGCTCCGGCCGGCGCAGCAGCCGCGCTGGGAGTCCCGGCGCGGCGGAGGGCGTTGATCGCGAGCCGCCTGTCGCTAACGCCCCACTGCGCACGGAGCCAACAGCCCGAGTCTTAGTGGGGTTGGACGCGAGAAGATGTATCTGCACGATTGGCGGTGCTCTGCAACGTCAGGTCGGCGGCGGCTCTGATTGGACTGTGATCCCGCTTTGTCCCGTCAAATCGAGTCGCCGAGGAGGCCGATATGTGCTTGGCAGTATCAGCGCGATCTTTCCCATTCAGCGCGCATCTGGCTGGCACGCTCTCGCTGTCACGGATGTTCCTGGTCGTGTAACATCCTCGCGCGCAAAGTGAGCACGCGGCACATCTGACTGGTGGTCTGCGGCGGCATCCGGCCGCTCGGTTATCGCTGCAGGAGCGATCGCAAGGTCGGGAACTGTGTCGAAGGACTGTCGCACTGGGCGCCGCACTCACCGAGCAGGCCCCAGCATCAGCTCACTTCAGCGGACGCAGCGCAGCGCTGTCATGCCCGTCGACCGACCGGGGACCGACAGTGCGTGCTCGTCGACCGACCGGGGGACCGACAGGGCGTGCCCGTCGACTGACCGGGGACCGACAGTGCGTGCTCGTCGACCGACCGGGAGACCGACAGTGCGTGTCCGTCGACCGACCGGGGGACAGACAGTGCGTGCTCGTCGACCGACTGGGGGGGGGAGGGGGGGGGGGGGCGAGAAGGCGTCGCCGAAGAAGAAGAAGGAGTGCCGCCGCCCAGTTTCCGGTTTATTACACGGTCGCTCGCCCCAAAAAACACGTCTGTCGAAGAAGTAACAGTGGGACGGCGACCGAAGGAGGAGGGACGAACAGGTCGCCGGTGAAGATGAAAGGCGTATCTGCGGCGGAGGAGGCAGACAAGTGCTGGGGGATGACCGGCCGACAGCGACGAGCACCGCCGTCACGGTCGGTTTTTTCGTTTGATGCTGGCAAACAAGACGCCCTCTCACTCACGTTCTGATCGTTGTGGCCGTCGAGGACCGGGACAAAGAAGCGGAAGCACAGATGAGCCGTGCGCGCGCCCAGTGCGGGGCGCCTCCCAGTGACAGCGCCTCCCCAGCGCGGGTCGATTCCACCGGTCGGCACCGCGGAGTTCTGGCTGGCTCGAAACCAGCTCAGTCATTGAGTTGGTGCAGCAAAAGCAGAGTCGCCTGCGTCGGACTCGTACGTCCAGATCACTCCTGATAATGTGATGCCTCCGGCCCTGTGCTGCGATTCTCGCCGTCCGGTTTGAACCGGTTTAAGCTGAATCGCGTCGGCAATAACTATCCTTATGACGGTCGGAAAACATGCGACAAAGAACATTTCAATGCAATCTGAATAAGCAGCAAACGAACGACACCACGCAGATGCCGTTGATGTGACCCAGTGTGTCAGTCTTGTGTCAGAGGAATGAGTGGAGACCTTGCGTGGTTATCTGTTTGCCGCAGCTCACGGTGGCGCTGGTATCGATCAATTCTCGTTGGCTAATGGGATGGGACACAACTCAGCCTGGTACGGCCGTACCGGTTTCAAGTAGTTTTTTGTGTTATTGTTCACTAAACCAGTTTCAATAATTCCAACAATCGTGACGTAAAAAGACACTATCTTCATGTCTCCTCTCCTCAATATTTTCGTCGCGTCGCATCGCTTTGATCTCGCTGCCTTAAGAACTTCCAGCTTATTACACCCAGCGCAAAAACTCTAGTAGCCATGAACGACGACCAGCCTATCCACCGACATTTGTCCGTACGGTACTGACTAACAGCGTCGCCAGATTAGTTCCCTGCATTCGGTTCATGCAATGCCAGTCGCCGCAGCATTTGGCGGGTCCCACGGCCACCGGTAGCCGGGAGCTGTGCAGGACTCCAGACGGACGTAATCAAGGTCACTTTTTCGGACGTGGCCCGCGTCGCCCGAGTCCGTGTGCTCCGCGGTGTCCCGTCTGCCCACCGCAGTCTGTGTCACCCGAGCCCGTGTGCTCCACGGCGTCCCGGCTGCCCGTGGCGCGCGGGGTGCGGGGTGCGGGATTGCCGCGCGTGCTTTACTCTCCCCGTGGGTTGTGGTCTGGTGTCGGCGAAGTCTGGCGCCGGCACTGACAGGCGACACTTGTCCAGCGTTGCTAACATGGCCGATTAGGCGTGTCGCTTAGTGGCGCGTGCTAGAAGGGGGAGGGACTGGACCTGTACCTCCCCCCCCCCCGCCCCACCACTACCCCAAGATAAGCTGGGTGTGTATGTGTGCAGCCGTCAGCCAGCCGGCTCTCATCGGCCTCTGGTGGCCCGTGCCGTACCGTGTAGCGCGTCACCAGCTCCCGTCTCCGCGCCTCCGTCAGTGTGCCCGTTCTGTGTAGCGTGTCACCAGCTCCCGTCTCCGCGCCTCCGTCAGTGTGCCCGTCCTGTGTAGCGTGTCACCAGCTCCCGTCTCCGCGCCTCCGTCAGTGTGCCCGTACTGTGTAGCGCGTCACCAGCTCCCGTCTCCGCGCCTCCGTCAGTGTGCCCGTTCTGTGTAGCGTGTCACCAGCTCCCGTCTCCGCGCCTCCGTCAGTGTGCCCGTACTGTGTAGCGCGTCACCAGCTCCCGTCTCCGCGCCTCCGTCAGTGTGCCCGTTCTGTGTAGCGTGTCACCAGCTCCCGTCTCCGCGCCTCCGTCAGTGTGCCCGTACTGTGTAGCGCGTCACCAGCTCCCGTCTCCGCGCCTCCGTCAGTGTGCCCGTTCTGTGTAGCGTGTCACCAGCTCCCGTCTCCGCGCCTCCGTCAGTGTGCCCGTACTGTGTAGCGCGTCACCAGCTCCCGTCTCCGCGCCTCCGTCAGTGTGCCCGTCCTGTGTAGCGTGTCACCAGCTCCCGTCTTGGTCTTCGCCAGTGTGCCCGTCCTCGACGTTCAAGCCGGAGCAGGGGAACGGCTCGTGCGGGGCGTGTCCGGACCACAGCAGCGCGCCGCACGCCGGCTCGGCCGTCTGCCCGTGCGACGCCGGCTTCTACCGGGCGCCGACGGACCCGGCCGGCCGCGCCTGCACTCGTGAGTACCCGCCGCCCCCGCCCCTCCCCCCCCCCACACACACATACACATGCAGACAGACACGCACCGCAGTTGCAACGGCGCTGCTGGCCCCTGAGGCACTACATGGAAGACGGGGTTCGCACGACGTCACCCGGCATGTGCGCGATCCCACCGTTCTAAACTTGCACCGCTGTTTTACTCACGCGCGGGCGCCCGCAAGACCAATCCGTGCATTCATTGGCACATCAGCACGCGCATGTATGCACCCGTGTGCGATGTATTGCCGGGGTGCATTGATACGCGCGTGTATGCATGCGCACATGACGGACACATGAGCCATGCTCGCAGTCACTGCCCCCCCCCCCCCCCCTTAGAGAATCGGGACGCTTTCAAATATGTCATGCCCAGACCAACTTCTTACTCACTCACGTCCGTCGCGTCCGTACATCTATGCATCTTCGAATAAAGACTTGGAGCCCTTTCAATGTCAGCTCCCTAGCCTGTGCCCAGCGTCTCAAACCACCGTGCTGCAGGCCTCAATGTGCGCGTCAGATATATCTTATGAGACCTGTACTGCAGGTTTGGACCGCTTGTCAGCGACGATAGCATCGTGTCTCACATCAGGCTGCTGTGACGGTGGCGCTCGGTCGCTCCCGGCCCGGCCGGCGAACAAAGCATTTCTGAGAAACGTCACGCCAGCCGATCGAATCAGCCGGCATTTCGCCGACGCCATCGTCCGCAGTAAAAGAACAACAGCGAAAAAGCTGCAGTAATCGCGGAGCACAGCCGGCGCGCGTGACCGGCGGCCGCGGCGCCGTGCGTGGCCGCCGGGGTGCGCGGGGGCGGCGAGCGCGGCCGGTGTCTGAGCGGCGCGTGCCGTGCCGCAGAGCCGCCGTCGCCGCCGCGGCGTCTGCGGGCCGAGGTCGTGGACCAGAGCACGGCCGTGCTGACGTGGGGCGCTCCGCTGCGGGACGGCGGCCGGGCCGACACCACCTACTCGGTCGTCTGCGAGCGGTGCGGCGCCGGCGTCACCTTCAGCCCCGCTCAGGTGCGTCTGCCGCGCCTGCCTGCGGGCTGCTCGGCTAGGGAGGGATAGGGGGGGGGGGGGGGGGGCACTGGCGGCTCGCGAGAGCGAGGGCTGGTGCAGAGGCTTCTATCGGCCCAGTCAGAGAGGACGGGGCAGTAGGGGTAGTGGAACTTGCTCTCCGTGCTGTACCTTGCGATGATGCTCTGTGCCCGTGGTCGTTTCGCGATGAATGTCCTCGTCAAAATCACCGGCGCGTCATCTTACGCCGTAGTGTGATCTGAACGAGACGGACCGTTATGCAACCATAAATCAAGGTTTGAGTAGGTGTCCATTTTAGCAAGGTGTTTCATAGCATTTATTTGAATGGCATCTTTGTAAAATTCACTCCACGGCGCTCGCCCGTTGAGACAAGGTAAACAGCCACCCTTTTGTGCTTGTGAACAACGCAGTAGTGGTGCATTCGTTTGTTGTGCACGTTATATATTCAGTGACGGACAATTGACTGACTCCCGCGACATTTGTACGACCCCTTATTCACTTCAGGTCAGGCTTTGCCTCGCCTGTCCCTGGCTGTCCACACCTGATCTGCCACCCGGAGCAAAGATGACCTGACCGGACCTCCTTCCACCGCTGGCCTCACCGGCGACCTGGAGTGGCCGCGCTTGACCTGACTCGCATGCCAGCCGGTTGCTGACGGTCCACCTGGCTCGACAGACGGACCTGAACGGCACGCGCGTGACCGTGTCGGGCCTGAGTCCGGTCACATCGTACCAGTTCCGGGTGCACAGCCGGAACGGCGTCTCGCCCGTGGCGGCCGGCGAAGACGGACACGTGGCCGTGGGCCTCACCACCCAGGCGTCAGGTGGGCGGCTGCCTTTTACGGAAGCCTCGAGGGGAGGCGCGACGAGCTGCTGCACGCCACCGGGACGGCGCGGCGGCGGTGGAGCTGGTGTCGCCGGTGTCGCTGCGTGTGACGTGGCGAGCTGGTGTTCAGACTCGACGTGCGGCCCTGATTCAACCCGCGCCTGCATCGGCAAAATAGGCCGCCCCATTCCGGTCCCTAGGATGGGATCCTGCGTCGACATATTCTCAGGATGTGACGTGCTCGGGCGTCCAACGATCATTTCAGATGCGGAATCACACGGTCGTTTCAGTATGTTGCGATCCACGATCAGACTTGCATTCGTCGAAAAACTTTTCATTCATTATTAATGATTAAATTACCAAATGGAGAAAGAAACCATAGAAAGATCCATGATCGCATTTGGAATAGCAACTTTTTTGTAAACGAATTCAAACCCACTTGCTGACATTCCGTAATTTACCGAATCATTGAAAAAGGGACTCTATCCACCACAAAATAACGTCATTAGATGTGCCTATAAACACAGTGACTAAGGTAGTTTGTCGTTAACATACCCTTCGCACCTGCAAAATTGTACTAGCATCTGGTTCATGTGACATAATTTTGTCATACGTTTTCTCTGTACCCTCTGAGGATTTCGATACATTTGGCCTATGAACCCGATCAAACACAAGCACACACCCATTACTAGCCGAGCGCCGTCTGGTGAGGCTTTCTTATCAAAGCGTGGCGAACCACAGCGACGGAAGGTGGAGGACGAATGCTCATCTGTTTCACGTGTGTTTAAAAAGCTGCTTACAGAACTAATAGTTTTCCCGCTTGTTGAGAGAAGTTACAATGAAACGTCGTTAGTGTGCCAAATTCAAAACGAGATGAACATAAATTGTTGGGGGAAAAGGCAATACTTTTGCTACTAAGCCAGACACGTGACTCTTGCTGATGTGGTAGCCACCTGCAGTTGATCGTTCACGTAGTAGCTCAGTGCGGGCGTCTTCTTTTCCAGTTCGCACGCCCTGTCCGAAGCACCGTCCGGGCTGCGTGTCATGGCCGCAGCCTTTCCGTCGCGTCCGATGTGCTCACCACGTCACCGGTGTCCGCAGTGCCGTTCATGGTGTCGGAGGTGCGAGTGGCCCTGGTCCGACCTTCGGAGGCGGTGCTCAGCTGGCTGCCCCCAGCCGACTCCCGGGAGCAGGTGCTCAAGTATGAGGCGCGCTACTTCGCCAAGGTGCGTGCGGCCCCACCCCGCTCCCACCACCCGCCGTTCCGCTGCCTGCGACCCACCTCACAGGCGCGGCGAGTCGGACCCTGAGTGCGACGCACTATGAGCAGTGATCCGAGCCTGACACCAGAGCCGCGCCAGGTGATGAGCTCGTGACGAGCTGCTGTGGAACAGAGACGAATCGAGCCTGACTTTGGAGCGCTCGCCCTCTGTCTGCGCGCGGGCGCGGCTGGCTGCGGCGTCTCGTGCGGACCGCCCGTCTCGTGCGAACCATGCCGTCTCGTACGGACCGTGCAGTCTCGTGCGGACCATGCAGTCTCGTGCGGACCGCCCGTCTCGTGCGGACCATGCAGTCTCGTGCGGACCGCCCGTCTCGTGCGGACCGTGCAGTCTCGTGCGGACCGTGCAGTCTCGTGCGGACCGCCCGTCTCGTGCGGACCGTGCAGTCTCGTGCGGACCGTGCAGTCTCGTGCGGACCGTGCAGTCTCGTGCGGACCGTGCAGTCTCGTGCGGGCCTTGCCATCTCGTGCGGGCCTTGCCATCTCGTGCGGACCGTGCAGTCTCGTGTGGACCGTGCCATCTCGTGCGGGGCCTTGCCATCTCGTGCGGACCTTGCCGTCTCGTGCCGTCTCGTGCGGACCGCGCCGTCTCGTGCGGGCCGCCCGTCTCGTGCGGACCGCCCGTCTCGTGCGGACCGTGCCGTCTCGTACGGACCGTGCGGTCTCGTGCGGACCGTGCCGTCTCGTGCGGACCGCCCGTCTCGTGCGGACCGTGCCGTCTCTTACGGACCGTGCAGTCTCGTGCGGACCGTGCCGCCTCGTGCGGACCGCCCGTCTCGTACGGACCGTGCCGTCTCGTGCGGACCGTGCAGTCTCGTACGGACCGTGCAGTCTCGTGCGGACCGTGCCGTCTCGTACGGACCGTGCAGTCTCGTGCGGACCGTGCCGTCTCGTGCGGACCGCACCGTTTCGTACGGACCGTGCCGTCTCGTGCAGACCGTGCCGTCTCGTGTGGACCGCGCCGTCTCGTGTGGAATGCATTGTTTCGTGCAGACCGTGCCGTCTCGTGTGGACCGCGCCGTCTCGTGTGGACTGCACTGTTTCGTGCGGACCGTGCCGTCTCGTGCGGACGGCGCCGTCTCGCCACCGCGTGGCCTCACTGCCGGTGCGTGCGCCTCCGCGCAGGACGAGCGTGCCAACACGACCAGCCTGTTCGCGGACGCGCCCAGCGTGAGGGTGACCGGCCTGCGCCAGCACACCGAGTACGGCTTCCAGGTGCGCGCCCAGACCGAGCGTGGCTGGGGCGAGTTCAGCCGCACCACCTACACCACCACCGGGCACGGCCAGGTGGACTCAGGTGAGGAGTGGACCCCTCAACTGATGAATCCGATGAGGCGTGGACGCTGCCAGGCGGCTTGTCAAAGGGGGCTTTTTGACATGGCCAACACAAATGTGTAATCTGTAAAGGTGGCCGGTGTTCAAAGAATGTGTAAAAACACACACACTTCTGAACGTAATATTTTAGAGCACGATGCCAACCCCAGTGTATTGCCGGTCGCTCAGCAACACGACCCGCTTCCTTTAAAAGCCGCGTCGTCGTCTCCCCATTACCGTCGGGCTGGCGCGGCAGAAGCGTGCGCCGCGTCCAGTCCGCTCACCGTGCCCACCGGCCGCCGGCAGCGTACGTGGGAGACGGCTCCGGCCCCAACGTGGACGTGATCGCGGGCGTCTCGGTGGCCGTCGGCGTCCTGCTGGCCGTCGTCATCGTCGTGGCCTTCCTGCTCGTCAGGAGGTAGGCGTCGGTGACGCCGCTCCCCCGTGTACGGGGGCGTGGCGAGCGCGTGTTCGAGCCAGTCTTCGGGGAGACTTGTCAGTGTTGGTGGGCTCCACTCGGCGTGGGACGCCCGGCGCGCTGGACCGCTCACTTTCGGTCGCTGACTTACGCGTTTGTATCGCCGGTTTGTGTTGTAATGGCTCTGGATCCTTCGTATAGGCAGTGCGAATTATTCGAAATATACCTTGCCACATAAACTACTCCTGAGCAACGAACTCTCTGCCTGCAAGCCGCGGTACCGTCGCACATAGGTACCATGTCAAATAGACGCTGCCAAGATCTGTCACCTGATGTCGTGGACATGCCACCTGTGTTTAACCTACGGCTAGCATATTAATATGTTCCTACGCTTCTCTGCCACAGTCGGAACATGGAAGACTCCAGTAAGAAGCGTCCGAACGACCCGCGACGGACTGAACTTCCAGAACAATGTCGGTGAGTTGCTCTGCACGAATATGGCAGCCCACGAATGCAGTTCACCGACCCGGACCTGGAAAGCGCCATTACCAAGTTCATGATGTTCAGCCTGAGTCGGCACTGCCACGTCACAGTCTTGCCCGTTGTGTCCCATCCGTGGCGAGCGTGGTATGTGCTGCCCGGTCCTTTGCCTCCCATATAGGATCGCGCCCAAACGTGGGGAGTGGGCGGCGCCTTCGCAGAAGTGACCTGCGTGCGGGGCGCTCTGGTCTTCTTTCGTGCCGCGCTGCGCCCACGCGGCTTTGTCTGCCATTGTGGGCGGTCAGCAGGGCTGTAGAGAATGTGGTGGCTTCTCGAAAACCGACCGTGGCCACCGGAGGGCGTCTTCTAAAGAACTGACCCTGGCCACCGGAGGGCGTGGGCAGGCGGCCCGCACACAGCACGCAACACCTGCACAGCCATGCCAGACAGCTTTCCGAGAGCGGGCGGCTACTCGGAGAGATTTCCACTGCGCTCTGGAGCTTGAGAATTTACGGAAAAAAGTCAGGCTGGCCGGCGGACGGGCTTCCCAGGGTCACGTCTCCGTGGCGCGATTCCAGGATAATACGGCTATCAGGGGCTGGAGGTTTCTATTCATAGCAGGGATTAAGCACTATTTGCATCCTGAAGGCCGATATACGCTAGGGAGACTGGAGGGGTTGAGTAAAATATAATAATGCGATGTTTTGTCTTAATACGGTTGCTTTTCAATCATAACACATCCTGAACTGCTAAGATATTATAATTTCGCATGTTTTCCATTGCTGTATGAACTGGAACACATGATGCATCTTTCTAAGCAAATATTTGTAAATAATTTCCATAGCCCTGAGCCTTTTTTCAATCTATCGAGGGTGCAAACTCCCATCCCTTCCAGGGTCATCATTTCCAACCACTTTTAGCCAATTATGTAAGACGTGGCATGCCCATGCAGCTTATAATACCCTGCAACAAGAGGCTATGTGTGCATTACACCTTCGCAAATATGAATATGGCGATGCTTGTATGCGGACAAGAATCTGGCATCAGAATACCATCATTTTTAAAAGAAGCCGTAGCCGAATGAACGTGAGACTCTTCAGCTCGCTCCAGCCTTCAGCCCCATGCTTCAGCCATCAAAAGGCTGTGAGGATTCATTCCTTTGACGTCATTTCGCCAGTGATGCCTGACGCTGGTCCCTGTCCATTCCAATAAATAGTGCCGCAGCTTACCATCTGTGTTTCTTCGGCAGCGTTCAATATTGGAGGAGCCACCCCACTACAGACGCCATCCACCGCACGTGAGTGAACCCGTCCCGTCACAAGCCCCCCCCCCCCTCGCCTGGGATGAGTCTGGCAGGACCCTGTACCATCACTGGACACCGTCTGGGGCGTGGTTGGCAGGACCCTGTACAATCACCGGACACTGTCTGGGACGTGTATGGCGGGACCATGTACCATCACTGGACTTTGTTTAGGACGTGTATGGCGGGACCCTGTACCATCAATGGACACTGTCTAGGATGTGTCTGGCAGGACCCTGTACCATCACTGGCCACCGTCTGGGACGTGTATGGCGGGACCCCGTACCATCACTGGCCACCGGCTGGGGCGTATCTGGCGTGGCGGGAGGTCGAACGCAACGGCCGGCTGAGCTTGTAATGCGCTCACGCTCTGAGGGACCGCCGCTCTAACTGTGACGAGTCACGCGGCTCGTCTTGCCTGACTCTAAGCGGGCTGGGGGTCAGCGGCGCGGGGATGGCCTCGATCAGCGTAAGACGCGCAACATGTGCGTATGTTTGTGGAGTTAATGCGACAACCTCGCTGTATCATGGATGGCGTTGTGTGCGTGATGTGGTGCGTTTGCTCGTACAGGATGGAAGACCCTCACGGTGCACTGCTTCACATGTGTTATGGTCGTCCGCGCTGTATCGTCTGCGTGTTCAAACTGCCGTGGCCCTACTCACATGCGACTACTGACGGCATGGTCACCATCCGTCACACCATCCGGTAGTGACGTCATCACTGGTCGCAACGTCCGCTCACGTCGCCGCCCCACCCGACAGTGACGTCATCATCCGTTATACCGTCCGGTTGTGACGTCATCACCCGCCAAACCGTCCGCCCACGTCGCCACCCCATTCGACGGTGACATCATTACCCGTTACACCGTCCGCTCACGTCGTCACCGCACCCGGCAGTGACGTCATCACCCGCCACACCGTCCACTGACGCCGTCACCCCGTCCGGCAGTGACGTCGCCGGCGTTCAGCCCGGTGACGCATCAGCGCACCTACATCGACCCGCACACGTACGAGGACCCGAACCAGGCGATCCGCGAGTTCGCGCGCGAGATCGACGCCTCGCACATCATCATCGAGGCCGTGATCGGCGGCGGCGAGTTCGGCGACGTGTGCCGCGGCAAGCTGCGCGTGAGTGTCTGATGTCGCCCTCCCCCCCCCCCCCCCCCCTCCCGCGCCCGGCACTCTGGCGGGACTCGCGGGGTGCTCGTCACGGCCCGGTCGTGACTTTCGGAGATCGTCGGCGGGAGCTTCGTGATGTTATCGACAGCTGATTGAGAGGTGTCGTGGAAGGTGTAAAAAATGGAGGCGACTTCAGCGATAGTGTAAGTGATTCGTTTCATGTTAAATTGCGCCGAGCAGACTGCAGATGCGATGATCACTGGACGTCGGCCCGTGTCGATTGTTTTGGTAAGCTCTGCGAGTCGTTGCTTCCCCGGCTCTCAGTTGTCTAGGCTAGCTGACCTGCGGTCGGGCAGTCGGCAGCTGGCGAGCCGCCGCTGTAGCCGGCGTCTCGATGACCTCGGGCGACAGTCTAGGCTGGCTGACCTGTGGTCAAGGGGTCGGCAGCTGGCGAGTCTCAGCCGGCGTCTCGATGACCTCGGGCGACAGTGTAGACTGGCTGACCTGTGGTCGAGCGGTCGGCAGCTGGCGAGTCTCAGCCGGCGTCTCGCTGACCTCAGGTGACAGCCGGCCAAGAGCGCACGGTGGCTATCAAGACCCTGAAGCCCGGCTCAACGGACAAGGCCCGGGTGGACTTCCTCACCGAGGCGTCCATCATGGGCCAGTTCCAGCACCCCAACGTTGTCTTCCTGCAGGGCGTCGTCACCAAGAGCAACCCGGTGATGATCATCACCGAGTTCATGGAGAACGGAAGCCTGGACACGTTCCTCAAGGTGAGTCTCGGTCTGGACCGTGCGGCCGTTGGGCGGCTGAGCGCTGCGCTGCTGACCTGTAGCCAGCTGCATAACGTGGGCCGGAAAAGTCTCGGTCTCACGCTTTTTTAATCGTTCCGTCTAAGCATGTGAGTTTGGAACAGTGTAAGCTTCTGGTGGTTTTGACAGGATCGTGTTCAGACCAGGTTTCGATCCGTGAGCGTACATGGTGCAGACTGCAAACTGTTTAATTTTTAGTTCTGATTTTATAATGCTAGTTTTATTCCTTGTGTTGAAGGGTCCCCCGTCCCATGTTAGTGATTTTTTTCGTAGCAGAGTCGTGTGAGGTACCCTTGCACTGTTTCGGATGTATTCCAGCATTCTGGTGGTATGCACAGCATTCCCACGCATGCCGCGTCACTGCTACCTGTCAGGCAATCTAAAGCGCAGAACAAGACATCAACTCTTTTCGTCAACTATTGAAGTACCACCCTGCCCTGTTGTCTGCATCGCCGGCTTCCATTTCCCAGAAGCCCCATTGTAGCTAGCCGCAAGATGCGTTCATCCACGCTCACTCACGAACAGCAATGCCATTCCTAGTTTCACTTGAACAGCTTTCCCCGGCGGAACCCCGCCGGCCGCGCCGTACCCCTCTCGTGCGGCGCTGACCAGCACCCCTACCCCTCTGCAGGCGAACGACGGCAAGTTCCAGGTGCTGCAGTTGGTGGCCATGCTGCGCTGCGTGGCTGCCGGCATGCAGTACCTCTCCCAGATGAACTACGTGCACCGCGACCTGGCCGCACGAAATGTGCTGGTCAACTCGCAGCTGGTCTGCAAGATCGCCGACTTCGGGCTCAGTCGGGAGATTGAGGCCACGAGGGAAGGAGCTTATACCACACGGGTGAGCTCACCGGAGGGACAGTAGCCTATACCACACGGGTGAGTTCGCCAGAGGGACAGTAGCCTGTACCACACGGGTGAGTTCACCAGAGGGACAGTAGCCTGAACCACACGGGTGAGTTCACCAGAGGGACAGTAGCCTGAACCACACGGGTGAGTTCACCAGAGGGACAGCAGCCTGTACCACACGGGTGAGTTCACCAGAGGGACAGTAGCCCATACCACACGGGTGAGTTCGCCAGAGGGACAGCAGCCTGTACCACACGGGTGAGTTCACCAGAGGGACAGTAGCCCATACCACACGGGTGAGTTCGCCAGAGGGACAGTAGCCCATACCACACGGGTGAGTTCACCAGAGGGACAGCAGCCTGTACCACACGGGTGAGTTCACCAGAGGGACAGTAGCCAATACCACACGGGTGAGTTCGCCAGAGGGACAGCAGCCTGTACCACACGGGTGAGTTCACCAGAGGGACAGTAGCCCATACCACACGGGTGAGTTCGCCAGAGGGACAGTAGCCTGTACCACACGGGTGAGTTCACCAGAGGGACAGTAGCCTGTACCACACGGGTGAGTTCACCAGAGGGACAGTAGTCAGGGGGACGGAGCTAGCGAGTAGGCAGGTCAACGCTGGGAGGGAGGGGGGGGGGAAGGGGGCTGGTCACACCAGATGGGTAAGGGTGCTGATGAGTGCGTTCCGACTTTGCATGGTGTTTTAACAATGCGCAGACATGCATGACACCGGTGAGAACACTGGAGGACAGTTTGCACATGGATGATGATAAAGAACCCAAGGTCTGATGAGCGACATGAGAAGCGTGAATTGACTCATTGAAGTATTGAGTTGTGCCACATTCTCATAATTAATCACTCATCAATGTATTCAGTCATTCATTTTCGTTGATATTCCGCATCAGTTAATCATTTATTGTAGAGTTTTATTGAGACCGAGCACCCCACACAGTTGGTGTGCTCCCAGCACTGCTAGGCTGCATGCATGTGCAGTGGCCACGTAGAGGGTTCACGGGGGGTCAGCTCTGGCCGCTCGTGTTCATTGCGCCGTTCCTCGGTGTCGGCAGGGCGGCAAAATCCCTGTCCGCTGGACGGCGCCGGAGGCCATAGCGTTCCGCAAGTTCACGTCCTCCTCGGACGTCTGGAGTTTCGGCATCGTCGCCTGGGAGGTCATGTCGTACGGCGAGCGGCCCTACTGGAGCTGGAGCAACCAGGAGGTCATCAAGAGCATAGAGAAGGACTACAGGTCAGACCACACACCGCGGCGGCGTCAGACGGCTCCTGACCCGAGCGTGTGTCAGATTGGCGCTCTGCTCGGACGGGTTTTCGTCGTCTGTGCGCTACGGCCTGCTGAATTGTGTCAGTACGCGGGCTTCTGTGCCAGGTGGGGTTTTCTGTTATTCCAGTTAAAGGCGTTGCGCGTTGAATCAAGGTTTGCTGGTTGGGATGTTATCCGTTCCTTTGGCATGAAGAACAGTTTTTTTTCAAGATGCCATCCGTCAGTTGCGGCGAGATCGCTGAAAGACAAGGAAAACAGATGCGTTAGACATAAGGAAAAACAGATGCACTTTTACTCGTACGTGACGTGCAGCGGCATCAAATTCATGTGAACCTTTTCCTAAGTGTGCGGAAAGCGGCCCTTCCCGCTTCCCTCCTTGTCCAGGGCTCTTCCAGCGTGTGTTAAACGCTCCACGTGGCGTGACGTGCTCACACCCAGCCGTGCTGAAGTAGCCCGGCGCGGTGCGACTCTCCGACCCTCTGTGTACTGTCGTGACCCGAGCGCCCGCCGCCGCCAGGCTGCCGGCGCCGATGGACTGTCCGGAGGCGCTGCACCAGCTGATGCTGGACTGCTGGCAGCGCGAGCGCGCCCACCGACCGCCGTTCGTCAGCATAGTGCACACGCTGGACGGCCTCATCAGCTGTCCGGAGACGCTCCGCAAGGTAGCGCCCAGCAGGTGAGCTGCCGACAGCCGGCGCCGCCTGTCGCCGCCGCTGGGCGTGCTGTTGTGACGTCCCGATCACCGAGCGGCGATTGTGACCACCGCCGTCATCTCCCTGAAATACGCTGACTTGTGTTAGTGAAGCTGGACGATCACATTAGCGTCTTTTGCCACGGGAGTGCACACCCTTGGACACGGGCTCGGGCTGGTGCAGTGTGTCTCGGAACACACTGGAATATACACTTCACCCCGGAGTAGGCGGCACCGTCTGCGAGTCAAGGTATGCCGGCTGTTTGACGCCCGCCGGCTGTCTGCAGGAGCACGAACCCGCTGTCGCCTGAGGCGGCTGAGCTGGCGTACGTCAGCACAGTGGAGGCGTGGCTGGCCTCGCTCAAGATGAGCCGCTACGTGGAGAGCCTGCGGGCGGGCGGCATCACCTCGCTGGAGGCGGCGGCGCGGCTCAGCCAGCCGGAGCTGGCCGCGCTCGGCGTCACGCTGGTCGGCCACCAGCGCAAGATCATGAACAGCGTGATGGCGCTGCGCGTCCAGGCGCGCGTCAACCGGCCCGAGGCCTGCTTCGTGTAGCGGCCGCGTGCGGCGCTAGTGTCGCCCGGCGGTGAGGCCTGGTGCTGCGCCGCGAGAGCGTGATGTTTGTGGAGGTGTGTTTCATGGAGTGTTTATTCGTGTTACGTGTGGGAGGGCTTTTGTGAGTGATCGTATTTCGATGAACAATGTGAAACGAGGGCGGTTTTTATCGCGGCGCGGCGTACTGGCGCCCGCTTTCCAAAGACAACGACTATGAGTCTGTGATTTTGTGATACGCGTCGTGTAATATTCGTGTCACTTTGGCCGTGAAGGACTGCTGATACTCATCTCGTATTGGTTATATGCTGCTGTATCATTCCCCTGCATGGCTTTGAAAACGTTGCATTCCTTCCATTTTTGGCGAAAAGGGTGCGAACAAATTACGTTAAGTTGTCGTTAAGTCTTATGTTACATCAAGTGCACGTTTAGCCCCTAGCGGTGGGCCCGGCTGTGGTAGCCATGTTCTCAGCCGGCGAGCCCCGTCGAGACGAGGGCGCCGGCTGAACAGGCGTAATTTGTGATCCTGTCCAATGTAGCAAACGTGGGGTCTTATTCCGGGCGACGCGCCGTGATTGTTTCAGTGCTTTCCTTTCATAGTATGTCATCGAATAGATTATTCCATCGGTGCTGTGTGTGGCTGCGCTTCGTTACTTTGCAGAGGGGGGGGGGCGGGGGGGGGGCGGGCATGAGCAGGTGAACTAAACACTCCTGAGCGGTGATGCATCCAGCGTATTAGTAAGAGGGAGAGGGACGCGTAGATCGAGAAAGGGCCCACGATGAAAGGCCCCTGCCCTCACAAAAGTAGCCGGATTTGGTCCAATCTACTGTGCAACTAAGTTTTCCTCATAGGGAGATGCCGACAACAGTATAAAAAGAAGGGACGGCGCTGGAAAATGGGAGGGAACTGACAACACTAGGAAACAAAATTATGATGTGCATCCGTAGTTTTCCGAAACGTACATTACGCATTTTGGACCGGAGTGTAGACATAACATCTGGATAGATATACGCAGACCTCAGCAGTCACACCCAGAAGCCCACACAATATCGCATGCCCGCGCTGCCAGGTACCTGACAATGCCTTAAGGCGCGCTCGGGTGGGGCAGGGTCAAATTGACCCCGGAAGGTTTTACCGGAATAGTTTACGAAAAGCGCGGCGTAGCCGCGTCAAATTTTCCATAGCTATAAACAGTTGAATAGCGGATCGCCCGGCATCAGAAAATTTAGATGTACCTTGTAAGGTCGCGGGGCCTTATGGCAGGTCAAGTCAGGCCATGGATTCAGGAAAAAACAATTTCTAGGGAATCGTTTAATCCGATCCAACAATGGAGTGTTAGACGAAGCCATTCATCTCTGAAATGCTTTCTTAGGCAACACAACAATTAAATTTACAAATTACATTGACCTAGGGCCATACATAAAAGCCAGACCAAGGTAAAAACCAACCAGTTTTATTACTCTAGGGCTTGCTGAATGGGGTAGTTTCTGGTGCTCATTTCGAATTTATTGATCGCGGGAACCGCATTATACACCTTCCATGGACTTCATAGGGGTCAGGATAGGTCACTGACATGAAATGATCCAGTCAACGTTTCGTTTTCAGGAACATACTGCCTGGCGTAGTATTTGTCGCTTATTCAGATACAAAACTGAAAACAGTCTTTTATAATTTCGGTCACCATGGCCTTCAAAAGGTCAAAAGGTTACTGACCGTAAGTGGGCACGTGACCTTTTCCTTAGAGCAGTTATCTAGGCTCTGGGAGATCTATGATGATCAGCCTGAAATTTTCCCTTGTTTGACCTTACTTGACTCAAAGGTCATGCTCTAGGAACTTCGACTTAGGTGAGTTTACGTCTAGGTCATCATAGCCTGTGAATTTGGTGTCTCTAGCTCCTTTAGTTCCTGAGATCTCAGGGGTCAAATTGACCCCTCATCCGAGCGAAGGGTATCCAACCGGCCTCCGGGCGCGTGTAAAACTTGAAAAGTTCGATTTCGCGTGTTTTCACTTTCGCGGTGACCAATCTCCTGCTTCTTGATTCCTGCTTATAGAAAAACCCGCGCTCATGGCTTCCGTCGTGATTCGCTTCGGGGGGCTGAATCCCCTTGTGAGACAAACGGCACGTCTGGTTCCCAGCTGAATTCTCGCGTATGTCGGCCCAATGACGTCAAAATAAAATCAGCTGGCATCATTCCTCACAGCTGACTGCGGCGCCCAATCCACCACAAAGAAAAGAAAGGTTGAATGTATTGTGTCAGCTACTCTGGTGCCAGCTTTTCAGCCAGGTATGGGGGGGCGTAAAAGATGTGGTTGATTCTTGGGTTGAATTATAACGAGCTTCCGCTGTTGTTGGGAATTTACGTGGATTCTATCCTAATATATATGTGAGCCTACCAAGGGCGGATCGGGGGGGAAGGGGTGTGAGGCCATTCTGCTTTGTTGATGTATCGTGCAGCGCATATGTCATGTTTGACGCATTCCAGCTAGTCCACAAAAATCCGTCCACTGCAGGACGCGTGCAATCAGTGTGTTGAACATCTGGGTGATGTTTGCCGAGCTCGGGACAGGCCAAATAGCTAAACTTTCACTGCATTTTTATTAAAATGCTTCAAAGACACTTGCTTGAAATGGTATTTGCAACATCACAATTCCTTCAAGCAACAGCTTTCCATGTACTGAAATGGTGTGCAGATCAGTGAGCATGTGCAGGTTGCCAAAATATGAGTGTTCAGTATTACAGTGTACTTTTGCTGAAATTTCAGCAATGTTGCTGCCATTCTGGCTGTGCCAGGCATGTTTGGCATGGAGTATATTTGGATGTCCATGATCCCTCTACCTTTCTAACTGGTGTTTCCTTCTTGATCAGAGATAAGTGTCATACTACTTGGTATGAAATTGCCAGTTATTGCCTAGATTGCCATCAGGCCATTTCCCAAGAAGTTGATGAAATGTTTCACTGTAATCTACTTCTGATAAAGTCAACAGCCATTCTTTTACATATGCATTCATATTTATTTGCTAGCCATTAGGTTAGTCTTTCCATTGATCAAAAGCTGTAGTCTAACAGTGTTGCTATTTTGTGTGGTTTTCCCTGTTACTGCCACTTGTTGGTATGGTTCAGTTTCAAGCAAATGAAAGCAGAGAATCAAAGGAACTGTTATACCTGGCTGCTGCCAGCCAAGTTCACTGCACTGATGTATGCTCATGGCTAAAGGGAGTGCTCCACATTTATATATGGTTTTGAACTGAAATAGCTATCTTAAAGACCATTCAGTGCTGACCAGAATCCTGCTGTCCTAAAGACCTGTGCCCCACTAGTTTCTGAAGTACATGCCCACATAAATAGGGAAAAGTATCATGGGAGATTATTTCAGTTGCCTTGATGTTAGTGACATTATATTCATAATGTGTGTTGATGAATGAGTGATGTAAAAGCGCTACATTTTTTCAAATGAAAGGAAACATTAGTATTAAACATGGCACACTGAAACAACACACTCTGAGACTCTGTGTCCTGAAACACAGGTGCATATATATGTATGGGTTTGCAATTTATGACAATTGCAGGCTGTGCACATGTACCCTCCAAAATGGGCAGGTGGTTATGCACCAGGCTTATATACCTTTCAAAATGGAGAGTGGTTATGCACCAGGCTTATACGCCTTCCAACATGGCCAATGGCTACCATACGCACAGCCAGAGAAAAACAATGCACAAAAAATGCAAATGAATGTGCCATGGATGGCCACCTACTTATGCTCCACAACAAATATGCTACTCATGCTTTACCATGGTCACACTACTTATGCTTTATCACGGTGACGCTACTCACGCCCCACCAGCTAACTGGTTTTAAAAATGACTAAACACATTCATGCCCTCCACCTCCTGGACAACGCATGAGGCCCGCACGTCCCAGCCAAATAATAGAGACAGGCAGCACTCTCAACCGATTTACCGAGCCAGCGCAAGTAGAATGCCTGACAGACCCGTCCAGGCCGGCCAAAAGGGATCGGAGTCAGTCACTCCGCTGACTCCGGATGATAATACAATGTATTCATGGATTTTGATGTGCTTTTACCCATATTGTGAAACATGATAATTTATGTTGCAATTCATTTATGTTTTTGTCCTAAGAAACCCTTCTCTCTAATTTGCCGGGGCAAAGTTATGGGCTGATGTTACTCCGGTGTCCTGATGTTTCTGCCTGAGTGAGATAGCTGTCTCTGAACAGTTTTTTGACTTTTTATAGCAACGTTTTTGGACTTTAAGGTATATTTTGTAATGTCTGAATTACCATTTCTATTTTCACACCCATAAGTGACAAATTTAGCTTGATTTGAATCCCTAGCTGCCATTTCATTTTTGTACTCTGGATACCAGATAGTGGCCAAAAATCCAACCACTTGGCGATTCTGGATGAGTACGAATAAGTCCTTCGTCATAATCGTGATGCCTATCTCTATACAGCTTCTTTCCAAATGTTTACAAATCTGTTCAAGGCATGAGCGCGACCAGAATATTTATGCACTTGACAAATCAGTCACGAGGAGGCGAATAATTAAAACCAATTGCAGAGTTTTGCTATGCTCAACCTCCAACCTGAGCTGGGAGGCGGGCGCAAGCCGCTGAATAGTTTACACGCTTCCGACGCTGAATTGCGAGTGATTCTCTCATTTGCGTTGCCATGCCAGTGGTGGGCACATGCAAAGGCAGCCGTTTAGGGCGTAGGAAGTGAGAGCTTTCTACGCCCTTATTTAGCAATACTGTGCAATACTATGCTAATCTACAGACCGGTGCGATTCTGCCCCTCGTTTTTCGTTTCCCAGTATTGTTCAAAGGAGATCCCATTCAACATCCACACACTCCATACACGATTTATCGTAAACATAGGTGGCAACGTGGGCTGCTTGCTATTGGGTGTCCTAGTCTGGTAGGTGCAAAATTTGTTCTCTTGCAGATTATGAATACATGGCTCCTGATGGAAGCAGCAAGTCTCAAACTGGTGTACCTTCTGGCTT